GGGAGTAAGGCTCTAGAGACTCTTCAGCCCTTATGGTTTTCCTCCAGTGACTATTCATTTTCAATGTAATTGTGGACTATTGTTTTCAAGGCTACTATGGAGATGGGTAGATGGCAATTCAAGTCAGCCTTATAGAGAAGCTATTTGTTCTTATCAGCATTGACCTATCTTTCTTAAATAAATGCTCTCTATATCACTGCAAACATTCAATTAATTTCCAGAGGTCTAAAAAAATTATTCTGAGCATTTTTCTAGTGTTTTGTCATGCAAAGTACTGACTTTAGGATATCCTTACTCAATCATTCCTGTAGGATGATGACCCAAACTTCTGTTGTGTTTAAGGGTAATTTGTGTATGTTTGATACAATTCATTTATTATATTTTTTGGAAATTATTTTCTGCCCATCTATGGCCTTGCTTTTGATTCTCTTAACAATATCTTACAGAGCAGATGTTCTTAATTTTAATAGTCTACCTTCTTTTTATTCTTTCAGATATTGCACTTTTCTCTGTAATATATAAAAACTTATCACTAAACTCAGGGTCATGTGCATTATCTCCTATGTTCTAGAAATTTATAAAATTGTATATTTGACACTTAGGTCTATAAATGTAAACTGATTTGAAGTTAATTTTTGTGGGAAAACCTAAGGTTTCATCTTTTTGTGTATAGCACCATCTGTTAAAAGACAATCCTCTCTCCATTGAGTTTGACTTGCTACTTTGTCAGAGATCAGTTGACTATTTGTGTGCAGCTGTTTCTGAGCTCTCTATCCTGTTTTATTAATCTAGAACTTTGACGATACCATGCTCCCTTGATTATTTGTATTTGTATCATGTCTTGAATTCAGGTGGTGTAAACGCTCCAAATCTGTTCCTCTTCGTTATTGTGTTGCATATTTTATGTCTCTTGCCTTCCTGTGTGAACTTTATGTTTGTTAGTATCTCCAAAATAGTCTGTTACCATTCCAAAGACTGATGGGAGGAATGTTATATTCCATCAACCTTCATCTGAGATGAATGTGGAACAAACCACTATTCTACGCACTTCTCTCCTCATGTGCCATCTCTGCCCATGACACTCCCACTATTCATAACAGGTCCTAAGATACAGTTATGTACATAGCTAAACTCCCTTACTCTAATCAAATCCTCTGTTCAAGGGATTTTTTTTTCTATTCTCTTTTGTCCAAAGCTAAAAACACAATCCCTTGTCCTGAGACTTGAGCCTCCTATTTGTTCCAGTTCATGGTATTTGGCATTATAACTAGAAGCTAATCTCTCTTGATTAAACACAGAGTAAAGTCATTAAACATAAGGGAGGGAACCATAATTCTCTATCTTTAAGAATGCCAGGGATTCTATTACCAGGAGAGTTAGGGGACATGTAAAGCCATTCACACAGTACTAGTCACAGAGTCAGAATTTCTACAATCTAATGAAATCAAGAAACAAGTCTTCACAGAAGATATGAATACAAATGCTCAAAAACTATTTTACAGACCTACAAGGGAGTTCACAGAACTAAAGGTCAAATCTTTGCCATGGTATATAATAGGTTTCTTTTAATAACAACTGTAGTTGATAAGTTATCAAGAAAATAACAAGACATCTGTGTGTGCACGTAGGTATACTCATTTTTATCCAGTAGGGCAATTAATTTTCTTTCTAGAAGAAGGGCACCTTTCCCATGAAAGCCATTTTTCCAGCCAGAGAACAATAGACCAAAGGGCATACAAAGAAGAGAGATTTGAATACAGTCAAGAACCAGAATAGTGTTGCAGCTTCTAGACAGGAGGGAATCATAAGTGATGAGTAATGCACACTTAAACCATATTAAAGAGAAGCAAAATCCGTATGACAATACAGATGCAGCAACCAAAGATATTTTTCAAAGGGTAATGGGTCTCACTAACTGAAGTGCCCCGCCCCCACACACACTGCTGTTCCAGGAGAATAGCATGAGGCAAGAATGAGAGGGACTAGGACCATGAAGTAGCTAAAATGAGAACTAAAGATTAGATCACAGAAACAAATGCTTAGATAAAGGTTTCTACATATTTCCAGCAGTGAGGAACCAGAAGTTTATACAATAGCATATACTTACATAATAAATTATTTTATACAATTGTAGTCTAGTAAATTCTATATTCTCACTTTGTTGATTGGGTTTTCCTAGTCTCGACTATAATAGAAGCTGATATTGCTTGAGCATCTTCTTTGTTTCAGATAGTGTCATTCATTTTCTCACCTAATTTGCACAACTCCTCATCTTATATTACTGTATAACTATAATGAAGTAGAATTTAATCAAGTATTCTCTTTAATCAAATATCTGGTTCTTTTCACTATCCTTTGTTCCTGCTAGGAACTTATTCTTTTTGCAATATTTAAAAAGTGTTGGATTAAAAATTCTCAAGGCATCATTTTGAATGTCTAGGCTGACTGTACCCCAGTTAACCATTCAATCAAAAATTCTACTGTCCAGATTAGGCACTGCAGAAAAGAAATTCTTCTTACATAAATTAATTCAATTTTTCTAAATTTATCTCCCACTCGACCTATAAAAATATTGTGCTGCAGCTAGGCTGTCTATATAACATTTCCTAAGCAGTTTTTATTTAATCTATATAATTTTGCTTATCTTTCCACTTGCCCACAATGCTCCTTGTTCATTTTTGCAGAGATGCACAATTTTGCTTATCTAAGACCCAGTGATTATGCACCCATTAGCACTATTTTACTGAATTTTCTCATGTAGGAAAAAAAAAGAATAAATCCTGTGTGCATGTCCTGGTCCCTCAATCAAGTTATCCAACCCTGAAGGGTGGTTCTATAAATATTACTTGTGTCACATGTTTATCTGGTATGTGGATGGTTCCCAACAAATCTTCAATTAATGACAGAGGTGGATGATATTGAGGGATGATAACAATGGCAATGGTGATCATGGTATTTACATTAACTAAATATCCTAGATCATGTGGACATGTAAGTCATAGCTACATACTCAGATGTGATTAAAACAGACTAAAATTTATTTTAAACTTGTTCATGCTAGGCATTATTCTTCAATTTTCCAAAATCTTATGTGTGCTAAAATTTTTCCCATTTGATGAGTGTAGAGAAACTGAGGAGCTTGTCCAAAGTCACACACAATAAGTGTAAACCCAGAACTGTGGTCACTCTGGCCCTAAAATTCCTACTTTACACCACTGTACTGAAATCCCCAAGAACTGAAGAACTTCAGTAAGAAACCCAGCAGGTGACATCAGGGCCCAGCCTCTCTGTGACCAACAACTGACAGCCAGCAATGAATATGTGCCTTAGAGCCACTATAGTCATTGAAATTCAAATAGATACTTTGAAAACATAGCAACTTTCCAAGCAATCCTTGGTTAACACCTTCTTACTTATGCCAATTCAGCTCTGGAAGTGTACTCAGGCACAGTTTAACTTCACAGGATATTTTGCTCCTGATTAAATTCAACCCTTTATAAGATAATTCACATCCAGAAGCTAAGAAAGGATATGACATTCTAAAATGTCATCATTTAGGCTTCTATAAAAAAAAAAAGAAGTTATAATCCATACTACAAAGTCCTCTTTGAAAAATGTTCTACTATATCTGCAACAGAACATTGGGATAGTCTGATTTTTGTGACCCTCCCCCTGCTCAGTTTTGATGAAAATGTGTTGAACATAATCACTATAGAAAAAAATTGTTAAGCATCCTGTAATCCACTATTTTTGTCATGGTATGTAATCATCACAATTAATTAGAAGTTTTGAACATCTGGAAACTAAATCCTCTACAATATAAATAAATAAATAAATAAATGAAACTACTGAATTCAGGGATCTTTGGGGCATTTAGAAATTATGCCCTCAATTGGAATAGAAAGAAGTCAAGATAAATTGTGTCTTTTACATGACAAAAATATGCAAAATAGTTTGCTTAAAAATGAAAGTGCTTTAGTCCACTGAATAATGTTCTATTTCATTTTTTAAATTTATTAAATAAAACAGTCTTCCTCATCTTTACCTATATAATCAATCAGTATAGCAAATTAGGGCCCCAAAATCAGCCAGAAGTTTATAGTATAAAATTATTTTCCCAAAGATCTGTCCACCTCATAGACTATAGAATGAAACTGCTTTTGTTAAGGTCATCATTAGCCTGTTAATTGTGACTCTTGATGAACATGTTTTAGCTCTATTCTCACTCTACCTCTATGATATATTTATAATATATTCTACTATTTTTTCCTGTCTTCCCTGAGAGCAGATAAATACCTATTTTGAAATATTTTTCCAATCCTTAATTTTTGTGGCTCCCCCAATTTAATCCTTAGCTCACAGCTTTTGGTACTATATACTCTCCCTGAATCTTGGGCGATTCCACGTAACTTTTATGATTTGAATATGCAGATGGCCCCATAGGCTCACTTTTCAAGTCAAAGAATCCCTCCAAAGCTTTAGGCTCAGATACAAAAATGTACCTCGACTCAAGAATCTTGAACTCAACATGTATAAATTTTAATTTGTCACTCTCATCTCAACCTGTTCTCTAATTTTCCCTATGTCAGTGCCACTATCACTTGCCCAATCCTTTAAGAAACTAACTTGGAAAGCCATCTATAATCCCTTCATCTATTCCACACTCAAGATTTAATAAATATTGAGCCAGTGTGACCTCATCTATAGGTTTCAAATTCATCCCTTTGCCTTTAATATGGCCCTATTACTGTGCTATATTATGGAAACTCATCTGCCTTGTAACAACAGCCTCTCCATCATGTTCTGATTTTCCTTTTTATATGTTCTCCCAAGCTTCTAAACAACCTACCTAAAACACAAAGATGTACTTCCAAGTCTCCGAGTTTCCTCTTAGACAAGCAAAAATCTCCACAATTAAATCTATAAGGTGTTTCATGATTGGGTCTCTTTATGCCTCCACAGCTTCACCTATGTGTCTCTTTCTACTTTTCTCTTTACAGGAGCTGTACGTGCATCCTTGAACCTGCCACAGTGACTCTCTCCCTAAGAGCGGATAAAGTATGGGTTCTTTGCTTCAGTGAGTTAACCCTACAGTCTCCTTTTAGATTTTGTTCAGTGACCTCTTCTAAAACGTTATCTGGCTTTTGACACCAGCTCACGTTAAGTTCCCATTCTCTGTGATCCTAAGTGTTCGTGCACATCTATTACTTCATTACAAATATGTGTGCATTTCTCTCTTCCTCTCCCTTTACTTTTGACCTTGAGAGAAGTGCCTGGATAATATTCATGTTTACATCCATGATACCAGGCACAGTGCCCAACATATGGTAAGTTTTTAATAAATTGTTTCTAGGTGAATGAAAGCTAGTTCTAAATTTCTACAAAAGATACTTACATGGGATATTCTCAGCTTTTCCACTGTATCCAGATATAAGCTTTAGTGGTGAAAATTACAAGAGGAAATTATTTTACCATCATCAAAATAAGATGACGATACATCAACTAGGAAGTATTTATTAGCTATTGGGCACTATGTTAAGTGGTTTATATGCATTTTTATCACTCATATTAGCTCTATGAAACAGATCCTGTTATACTCACTTTACTTGCAAGGTGGCAAAGGCTTAAAGAGATTAAGTTTCCCTAAATCACACAATTACAAGAAGTTGGGATTCTGATTTGAAGGCACAACCCTGCCTCCATTCTTTCTCTAGTGTTAAGGGGGAAAAATACATTAAATGGATATATAGGAGTTCATGGAATCTCAGAAAAAGATGATCTTTGTATCGAGAACTGAAGATTGAGTAGATAATTTTAGGGAAACACGCCCATATAAACAGGCATTTCAGGCTGGGGAAAAATAAAGGTCTGTCTGGACTAAACAAAGGAAGAATCATGGAGTGATCATAAGAGTGTAAAGAACCCCTGGACCCTGTGATGTGGAGGTTATTGACAGGTAGGGGGCTGGAAAGGGGTGTTTGACCAAGTCTCCCAAGGGCTATGGATACTATGAAAAGAAGTTTGGAATTTTTCTTGAATTAGATGATCATTTTTTATTTTTAAATAAATATATAAAGTCATCAGAAATGTAATGTGTGTAACAAAATTAAGAATTAGTTAAATTGAGAAGAGGTTATATCGAAAAAGACTAGCATTTCCATTTGTTAAGTCTTTATTTTCTTACCTTTCTATCTTTCAAAATAATCCTTGATAAGTGCTGCAGGTTATATTATATATAGATACACATAATTTAAATATATTAAAATATAAATATATATATAATGGGTTTGAATTTATATAATATATATATAATACACAAAATATGCACTTTAAATATACTAAATAAATTTATATTCATTAAATATATCCTGTGTGTGTGTGAGAGAGAGAGAGAGAGAGAAGGTATGGCATAACTAGCTATATATGAAATATCCAGAAGTATGGCAAATTGTTTTTTGTTTGTTTACATCAAAATGCCTCATGTTGTCTGAACAAAATAAGTTGAGTAAATGTTAGTTTAGTAACATAGTGCATCCTCCAACACTAAATTTTCTGGGAAGGCATAGGCTTACTATCTTAATCTTTCTTTGGAGGGGACTATCAATTTAAAAATAAGTATTTCTACTGGGCTAAATTAATAAAATATATTTTTAAAACAAGAATTTTCCAGGAGAAAAACCTATAATTTATGATTATTGTAACTTTAAGTATATACAGAAAGGCTAAGTAATGTTGTAATTGGACTGATCGTGAAGATGCTATCTTTTGTACTTTGTTTTGATTTCCAACATCTATATGTTCTAGTCTTTTTAAAGAATCTGTTTTTATCATTTTCTTTTTAATAACAAATGGAGTGCATGTATGTGCCTGTGTCAGGTAACAATGGCATTTCAGACTTTTGTGCAGGGTAATGATGAACACTGAAGTTCGTGGATTCTCTGAGCTACTTCCTTTTTTTTTTTTTTGAAAGGAACTGTTTATCAATAAGAGCTTCTAATGCTGAGTTCTATAATGATTGCAATGTCCCTCCTAATAGCTGTGTTTTCTACATGTCTATTTTTAACAGGAGTGATTATGAAAGCAGGACTACATGTCCTCTCTACCTGCATCCATCACTTTCCCTTACCTCTTCATCCTGAAAATAGTCATCCCACTTACCTTTAGTGAAATGTTGATTTTTAAGGGGATCTTATTTTAAATTGCTGGGTATTCTCACCTTTTCCTAATAATACCATTTCCTGGACAAGCACTGCATAGATACTTTAATTTTAATTGGACATTTCATGTTTGGATCAGTATTTATTTGGGCTATGATCAAAATGGCACCCAGTGCTCTGATTCTCCTTCACTTCATCTCTGCCAATATCACCACAGCTATTCATTCACAGAGCATTTATAAAACATCTATTATGCATAAGGAAAAGATTAAAATACAAGTCATTCCCTCTCTGTGTTTACAAAGTAATGAGAGAGGTAACAAGCAAACTAAAACAATGAGGTGATGTGCCACACCAAGTGCTATAGCTAGACATTACAGAGTGCTAAGAAAGGCTTAAAGCAGAGTAGTAGGGTCTGAGAAATCTACCTTGAAGAGATACCAAAGAAGCACAATGTTTAGAACATCTCTCTGCTCTCAGGCACCCAAAGACCTTCAAACAACAATTCCTCCCAAATATACTTCCAGTTATTTCCATAATCTATCTCAAGTGCTTGCTTAATCTCAATGTGGGAATCTGCCATGTTGAGTTCTTAACTGTGTCATATTTTAAGGTAAAAGTTAATATTTATCTAATAAGCATTCAGTGAACACCTAATTTGTTCTGGTATAATACTAATGCTGGATATGTAAAAATTAATGAGACACAATTCCCACACTGAAAAAAAAAACTAAAAACAACAAGAAAATACTTTTGGTTAATTACTAATTAATGTGGTATTTGTAGGATCACAAATGAAGCACATAGAACCCAGCAGCCATCAAGGTGGGGAATAAGAGAAGTCAGAAGTCCAAGAAAAGCTCCAGGTATGAGGCAACAATTGAGTTGACTAGGAAGAAACCAGAGAAAATAGCTGCTCTAGGAAGAAGAGATAGAATAAGCAAGGTTGAAGAGTCGAGAAACAACACACACAGGGTTAGGTAGAAACATCTTCAGTGCAGAGAGAACTGCAGGAGATATGTTTGGGAGAACATAAGGCAAAGTACAAAAGAATAGTAAGAGTAGCAGAGACTGGGTAATATAGGACATTATGATTCATGAGCTTGTGTGTGTGTTGCAAGTGCCTTACCACTAAACTGTATCCCAAGCCCCATATGGTAGTAGTAAACAACCCACCAATTTCACTGGCTTGAAACAATTAGGGCGGATTACTCATATTATACTTCGGTCTTGAGTTTACTATAGCTCTGCAATGTACACCTTTATTCCAGGATCCAGGTGGACCGGGACTCCCCACTTGGAACATTGCTGATCTAGTAACAGAGAGAAAAGAGCTATGGCAGTAGAACTACACAACATGTGCAGCTACTGTCCCAATATGACAGATGTTACTTCTACTCACAGTTCACTAGACAGAGTAATCCACCCCTCTAAGCTGATGACCCTGGTACAAGAGCAGGGGAAGTCTAATTCTGCTCCAGGGAGGAAGGGCAAATAATTAGAAACACAAATCAATCCATCAATAAAATCTTCCAAACCCTTTGGTGGGGCACAGATTTTAATTTGCAGCTTTGGTGACCACTGAAGAGTTTTACTCATGGACATGACTTAGTCAGATTTGCACCACAGACAGAACAAGCTGGTTTCTATATGAAGAGTTAAATAAGTAAAACAGAGGACAAAGTCCATGTGCAATCTGGGATGAGAACCAATGAACAAAGTTCACGACCAGTAATCACTAGAGTTTCTAGTTTGTCACACACCAACTCTGTGTGATTTTAGAGATTGTCAAAGGAGCACTGTTTATTATCTTTTCTCAGCCCCCTACAGGCTAACGTGCAAAATCAGATATCCAGTGGTGGGCAATTATATGTCTTAAGAATTATGTAGTATAGACTGTTTATATAAATCCACATACAGTTAGGTCCCCATTATCATGTTCAGAGCAGCAAAATAATATAATGAGTAGATAATAATCCCAGAGGTGCATATTACATAAAACTTCAGCACAAAGGATTCTCAGAAAACCAAAGGTTGAATTAAATCTTCAAATCTGAAATAATATTAGGTAAACAATGAGAAGAAGGAATGCCAACCAAAAGAAATGAATGTGAGAGAAAATGGAGGTGTGAAAACTTTTTCAACTTCAGAAAATTCTATTTTTATTATGATTATAGATATTGAAATTTATCAAATGACTTTGCTATAATTTTTTAGACAAGGACACACTGATTCCTTTTTGATCTGCTTATGTGATTGATTTGAATTTTCCACTGTTGAACCGGGCTTAGATTCCTAGGATAAAACCTTCTAAATGAGGATTTATTTCTTTAAATTGGCCACAGATTCAGTTACATAAAATTTTATACTTTACTTTGAAACCTATGTTCTAGGCCCGTGGTTGTGTATACATATCACACATGTGCATGCCCGCACCCACATACATGTGCACACCATCCTTAATGGTTACTAGAGTCAAGTTTATACTAGCTTCAAAAAATGAATTGGACAGACCCCCATCTGTTTTAGAAACAGTGTTAATTAATAAAGTGTTAATTTTCTTTGGTTATTTTCTACCAATATTTCTTATGTTAAGTATTTGCAAGCTGGATATATTTTTCGAATTGTTTTATTTCATTGGTTCTCATCCCAGGTTGCACATGAAAATCATCTGGGAGAGACAGTTATATATTTTTCAATACCTGGATCCTGCCTTGTATCGCAGTCAAGTTAGACTCTCTGGAGTAGAGATCAAACACCTATATTTTAAACAATTTATTTTAAAAATTTCTTCAGATGATAGTAATGTATAGCCAGATATATTCTTGAGTTAGGTTTTTCTTTTTCTTCCAGTATATAGCTTTTGGTTGAATTCTAATATTTTTTTTCTATTCATTCTTTGTTTGCTTTTGTCTTTCTT